ATGAAAATTGGGGCCTGGACAAGCTTCTTGAAGCCAGACAAGTAGAAGCAGGGTGGAGGCAAAGGGTTTGCTTTTCAAATGTTAATGAGTGCTCTTAATCAGAAAAATGTGGCTTTCACCAAGTTTTGCTCCCACACACTGGTTTGAGGCTGAGCTAGACTGGCATACACTTGATTAAACTCAGCCAGGATCTTATCCAAGGCCAGTCCTGGCTTTTTTGTTCGCTGTTTTTTTTTTTTTTTAGATCACTAGGAGGATTGTAAATAAAACAAATTTAGGAAATATAAATCTCCCACGACCCACAAAAACCATAGAGGCACACATCTATTTTGCCTAAGGGATTCAACACTTAGCTGGAAACTTGCATGAAGACACGTACTGCATTTATCAGTTCACACAAGAAAAGGTGGAAGGGAGAGGAGCAATAGAGAGAGAAGAGAAAGGACAGCGGGGAAGGGGAGCTGGGGCCACCTCTGGGAGACTGAGCCTGGGGCACGGCTTGCAGGCGCTCTTTCCCCTGGTCAGGAGACCATGGACCTCAAGTTCTGAGGGAAGAAGGGAGGCGCCAAGGGGAGGCCGGGAAGCGTGAGGCAGAAGTGCTGCTGGGAGGTCTGCATTCCCTGCTTCTCCCTAGGGCCTCTGATTTCTGGCAGCAACTGCTGGCTGCCTCCTCTCCTCCCACAGCTGGGGCCCCTGCTGCACCCAGGACCTCCCACCAGGTAGAAGGGCCAGGGAAGCTGCCCCTCTGCCAGCCACTCAGGAACTTGGGACTTACAGGGAGATACCACTCCTAGGCATGAAAGTACAAACCCCAAAGAGACAGGCTCTGCGCACATACGTTAAATTTTCCTTTCCCGTGAGCTATATAGTGCTTCCAAGGGGTCTATTAAAGTCTAACCCAGGGGATCTCAGAGCTTAGAGCCCAAACAAAACAAAACAAAACAACAGCTGTGGAGAACTACCATAGTCCATTGCCCTAATCGAGCTTCCCACATACACCTCAACTTGGGCAAAGGTTTATCTCTATCAAACTTAACTCCTAAACTTTTCTTCTGCATGATATAATGGTCCTAGATTTATTTTGGCAAACCCCAATTCACGTTAATGTTGAGGAAAAAAAAAAATCTAACCACCAGTAGAACTGGTTGTTAAAGGTAATGTTGGACCCACCCATTGGACAGTAGATGTGTCAGTAGAGTTGGTGCCTGGTTAAAGGCTCATGGGGGGGGGTCACCGAGAGAGGGTGAAAACAGTGGAACTCCACCGTTACTAACCATCTAGGCCCACTGCTGTTACAACCACAACCAAAAGATAAATACCAAGGCGGGAGAACTCTGCATAAATATCTCCACAAAACAAAATGTGTACCTGCCCATGTGAACTCCAGCACAGAACCACACTGGAGACTTAGTTGTCTCTCCTATTATGTAAATGCATTATTCCGTGAGACAAGACCCTGTAACTCCAAACAAGAGAAACCCAGGTCCCGTAACAACGATGAGGCTACAGATAGCTCGGGTCAGCCTGCCTCCTCCAAGAAGGCAATCCAACCAGACGAGGGGATGGAAAAAGGAAATAGGATATTTTTAAGGTCCTCGCATGGATTTATCATATAGTATATGCAAGTGGTTTAGAAAGCAGAATCCAAGTTTTACAGTGAAGGTCTGCTCCCTGACCTGTCTGTCCCCTTTCAGCTGTTTCTCACATTTGCCTTCAAGTTTCTAAATAATACGCTTGTGCTACACTTGATTTATCCAGTTGGGACATCATTTGTTGGCTTCCTATTAAGCTAAAAGACTCTTCTCTTTCCTTCCAATTTTGCCTCCCCTATCCTCTCAATATAAATATATTTGTGTGTGTGGTGCGGTATTGGGGATACAACTCAAGCATTCACAGTGCATGCTGTGCAGGCACTCTACCACTGAGCCAAATACTCGGAACTTTTTAAAAATTTTTTGGTACTGGGGATTGAACTCAGGACCTTGCACTTGCAAGGCAGGCAGCAGAACCACTGAACTAAATCCCCAGTCCTAATAAATATGTGGAAATTGTTTTTTTGTTTTTTTGTTTTTTGGTTTTTTTGGTACCGGGAATCGAACTCCTGATCTTGAACTTGTGAGGCAGGCAGCAGGACCGAGCTAAATCCCCACCCCCAAACCTTTTTATTGTGAGACAAGATCTCCCTAGATTGCTTAGGCTGGCCTCAAACTTGTGATTCTCCTGCCTCAGCCTCTCAAGTAGCTAGAATTAAAGGCAGGTAACCCCACACCCAGCAAATTATCATTTTTGGTTAAAGTGACATTCTATGATCTCAATGGTGAAGACAGAATTGTACTATAATTTTATTCCAAGGTTGATATTGAGAATTATTGTGCTACTCCAATTTTCGTTCCTTTGAATAGATCTGTTTTATCCCTCTAGGGAAATGTTTAGGGTCATCTCTGTGTTTACTCTTTTGAAATTTCAATGTAGTATAACTTGGTGTGAATGTTTTCAAATTCACACGGAATTTTTCTGGTATTATTTTTTTTTCAATTGTTTTTACTTTCATTTACTTTAGTCTCTAAAATTCCAATCAGGCAAATGTTGGCCCTCCTGGGCTAGTCTCTCATTTTTATCATTTCTTCCCCATTGGCCATCTTTTTCTGTTCATTTTTCTGGGACATTTTCCCATTTTATCTGCCAACCCTTTTTCTTTTTCTTTTTTTTTAAACTTTTCTATTTTTAACTTATAAAAACTCTTCTTTCTTGTTCTTTGATGGTTCCTGAATTAGAGCATCCTGTTTTTGATTAATGGATACATCACCACCTCTTATCTCCCTAAGAATATAAAAAATGTTTTTTGTGCGTTTTTGAAGTTTATTTGGTTCCCCTGCATTGTGTGCTTCTTCCTAAATCCTTTTCCCCACTCACATGACCTAGGTCTCTTTCATGCTGAAGGCTTTTCTCCAGAGTCCGGTGACCCCGGATGTTCATTTATAAGGAAGACTGCGATCCAAAACTGATTTGTGGATTTCTCTGCAGCCTGTGAACAGCACTGTCAGCTGGTAAATTTCATGGACAGAAATGAAATGCGCTGCATTTCAGGGTGGGCACCCACATGGCCTTTTCTCTGGGTCTTTTCTCTGCATCCACTCAGCTGCCCTGGGGCAGAATCCCAGCTGAATCCCGGCTGGAGAGGATGTGACTCTGGCTCTCATCCTAGAGGAGGAGCAAGGACTGGGGATAGAATCACCATTAAGCAGCCACTGTCAGTACTGACTTTGACTTTCCCCTTAGTGCTAACCCCAAACCTCCATCCTGTCTCTCTGCACAAGGTAGTTAGGTCCAGAGCATCTTTAGAGGAAAACATTCTGCTTCATGCGAAGGGTTTACAGAAGAAGGGCAGGGAGTAATTGTCTGGCTGCATGGCTAGGTGAGAACACTCAGATCTACTCCCAGACCCCCAAGCTATCCTCTGTGCTCAGCTTCTCTGTTCTTCCCTGCCTGCCTCAACCTTCCTGAAGTTTTGTTTCATGCAGCCTGGGGGAGAGGGCCAAGGTGGGTACAGCTCTCTTCTCCTGGAATGCCCTCAGCAAACTGAGCCAGCCACTACCTCTCCATCTGTTTCCCATCTGCCTGAAGTGTGCAACCACTTCGAAGTCTGTGGAGTTCCTCTTCCAGTGCATCTGTCTGTGTGCATTTAGATCCTTTTATTCCCCATCTGGAATTTCTACTTAGAGTTTTAGAAGACAAAGGCTTGGGTCTGCAATGTTAACCAAAAAAGTCATTCCCCACTATTTAGATTTCACATTTGCTCTGCAGAAATCTGCTTGTCTGGAGTCTGTCAAGCTCACTTGGGTTCTCTGTGCTTCTCAAGGTGGAAGGTTCTAACCTGGGGCCTGCCAGGGATAGGATGTGAGGCTTGGGTTAATGAATTCACCTCCCTGGAGCTCATTTCTGGGAAGGGGAAAGACGTGTGTATTAAAATGTTTTTGGTAAATTGTTAAATCATCATTAACACAGAGTTAAATTGCTTGTTGCATTAAAGATAATGTGATAATGTTCGTAATAGCAACTTAGAGGGCTAGGTACAAAGTGACCCTGTTTTTCAGATGACTTCTACAAAAAGGTAGCCTTCACCCATCAGGAGGTGGGTAGGGTACTTGTCTGGTGCCCTGTGATCTAATTCTCCCTGAGTATGTTTTGTTTTCCTCTTGAAATCCAGATTCGCTACTAAATTCCTTAGTTTAAAAACTTTAAGGTGGTGATTTGGGAGAGAGGGGAAACGAGTTCTACCTGGTTATTTTTAGGAATAAGGAAAGAAGGAAAACCAGGGTTTTCAACTGCAAAGAGGAGCTATATTTAGTCCCTTGTGCCAGCTTACCTTTACTGTTTGTTTGTTTGGTACCAGAGATTGAACTAAGGACCTTGCACTTGTGAGGCAGGTGGTGGAACCACTGAACTAAATCCCCGGCCCCAAACTTTACTTTCAGTGATCATTCTTTACCTAGATGAGTGGTGGTGAACTTATGGCATGCATATTATTATATTTTTTCCTTTAAGACAAAAATGTAAATGTGTGAGTTGTCTTTTTAAGCTAAAACCTTAGAATTCAGGTTTAACTGCAGTGTTGTCACTTTGTGATAAACAGATGGGTTTTGGGTTGCAGTTTGGGCACTTGGTCTCTAAAAGGTTTGCCATCACTGACTTAGACGATCAACATAGATTATCAGTTTCCAATTTAAAATGATCTCATACTTCCTGATGATAAGTCAATATATTCTTCACTTAAGAAAGTGAATTTTTGGGGCGGGGATTTAGCTCAGTGATGCCTCGCCTACCTCACGAGCGCAAGGTCCTGAGTTCAATCCCCAGCACTAAAACAATAAAAAAATAAATAAATAAAATAAAATAAATGGAACAAGATTTTTACAAAGAAGAAAGTGAAGTCTTTAGTTGCAGTATGTTTTCTTCCATGTACACTAAATAAGATTGTGTGTATTTTTCCCCTATTGAAGGTTGACCTGCGTTGGCTGTGCAATACAGCACAATGCCAGTTCCCACATCACAACCCTCAGGAGCTACGAGAAATCTAGCCCACTCCTTTGCTTTGATGACCATCTAGACGAGCTCAAATGGGATGAAATGATTACTCTGGTCCTTGGGTAAATGATTTCACTTCCCTGGAACTTCCAGCTGTCTTTGTGTTTCGCCCAAACGGATGGCTTCGCATCACCATTATCCATTCACCCGGCAAGTGCTCATGAAGGGGACTGAATGTTTATGCCAGGCACTGTGACAGGCCCTGGGGAACAGCTTGTCTAAAACCAAATCCAAGCTCCCTCTGTGGGAGTTTACTTTCCAGCAAAAGCATTAATAAAATAAGGATTACTCAGCATATTGGAGAGCAGTAAGTACTCTGAAGAAAGAGAAAGTGCCCTGTAAAGGGGCTCTGGAATGTTGAAGGAGAATGGTCAGAAAGTGAACTTCTGGCAAAGACTTGAGCGGAGTGGGGAGTCCTGAAGATACTGAGGAAAGAGCTGCTTTCCTGGCAGAAGGAATGGCAGAGGTAAAGGTCCTAAGGTAAGACTGTCTGTTCAAGGTTACACCACTTCCTGCTGGGTGACACAGAGAGTAGAATTATAAATTAGAAAGAGATAACATTCTCTGACTCCAAACAAAACAAACCAACACCATGAAAACAGAACTTCTAGAACAAGTGACAGAGAACCTGGAGGCGCAGAATCTGTGATGACAATAAGAGGGTAGCTTGCGAACACTGAGAAGCCAGAAGATACAACTGAGAAGGAAAGCAGTTCGTTGGATTCAAGGAACCACCCCAGGTCTGATGAACACGGGGCCTGAGCCTCTCTTACCTTTGGATTCAGAGCATCCAGCCCAGATAGAGCACATTTTAGACTCAAGCAATGTCTGTTGAAGAAAAAAATGACTAAATGAAAATGTAAAACATGACTTTCTGCTTTATATGTTTGTCTGCTGCAACATGTTCTGGAACTTAATTTAATTATAAGAAGGGACTTCACCTCAGAAAAAAGTTAGCAATGTTTTCTTTGTATTCCTCAGTCTATTCACTCTGTTTGAAACCCACTGAAAGCTATTACAGAGTCTGGAGAAAACAAAACATACTTCTAAAACATCTAGGAATGTTCAAAGGTACAATTTAGTAATTGAAAGAAGCACATGTGTACCGTGTGTGTGTCTGTCTCTGTGCGTGTCTATGTCTGTGTGTGTGTGCACACACCCCGGCACCTTGGGTCTGTTTGTGATCAAGATGCATTTTAATGTGGTTGGGTGGAGAGGATATGAATGGAGTCTATAGATATACAAGCCATTTAGGATGCATTTATATATATTCTAGCATGATGTTTCATTGCATCTCATTCTTTTGGTTAAGTAACAGAAACTGCCTTAACCTCATTTAAGCAATAATAAGAAGGAATCATTGTAGGGATACAGGAGTAGATCCGGGAACCCCAGGGCAGGAAGATCAGTCAGAAGGCTCTGAGGAACCGAAACCTGGGACCAGACATCCAGTGGGAGTTAGGAAGCTCCCGCAGCCTCACTGTTGACCCCTCACATCCTCATTCCCAGGGCCCACGGTCTCCATCCCTGCCTCTGTGCACTGGGCCCCACCTTAGATGATGACCTTTCTTGCCTGTCCATCCACATGGTCTCCTGGCCACTGCTTACATTTAGCAGTAAGCATCAGATTTTCAGTCTTAATTCCCAACAGGCAGGAGAAAGGACCTGATTAGTTCTGCTTGGGCCAATCAAACATGCAGCTGTGGTGTGATCAACTTGCCTGTTGTAGTTGTCAGGTCCTCTTTGCCAGATAAATGGTGATCCCCGAGGGTTGGAAGAACATGGTGGCCATAATCCCCTTCCCTGACTGACTTCACTGTGCTGTGGTGTGTGAACATGAAGGCAGGCCCCCAGCAGAATTCCTCCACACATAAAAAACATGTACAAGTAAATGTCATAGTACCTATTCACACAAGTTCAGAGAGGTAGCGACTGATAGGTATTTTACGAAGAAAGATCATAGACATGACAGTGCTCCAGCAGCAGCGGATGTTCCACTTCCAGTCACAAGAGTGGCCCAATCCACGGGTACCTGTCAGGGCTCAGAACATAGAGCTCTTGCCCCCTGGCCCTCTCCAAAGTGGGTAGAGCTGGTGCACCCACTCTAATATCACATTAATCCATGGGCAGAGGCACCCTCACAATATCTGTAGCCAATTCAAAGTCAGATCACGAAAATCCTTTCTAAAATCCTTTATGCTAATTAAGAGACTCTTGAATGGCGTTTCAAGCAGCAGTCTTCAGCCACATTTAGAGAAAGAACCCTTCGTCAGCACCCCTCAAATGTACTCACCATACCCTAGACTCAGTGTAGGCACCTAATCAGAAGCTGTGATTGTTACCCAACCAGTCTTGGGTTTAGATGAAAACTAACACACAGACACAGACACACACACACAGACACACACACACACACACACACACACAAACACACACACACACCTCTTTGGTGGCAGCGGAGGGTTGTTACAAAGGGGCCCTAAAGAGGCCTCCATTCTAAAAGACCTGTCCTGAAAACCCCTCACCCCTGCTCACACTGCAGCTGACATGTCACTACCAGCTCCATCAGCAAATCCTCACCCAGGATTTTATCTCATAAAATCCTCACACAGACTCACAGCTGGGGAAACAGGCAAAGTAGGGATCAGCACCTAACACAGCCAGGAATTGACTCTCAGACACATCTGAAACCATTCTTCGAGTCTAAAATATTGTGGCTTTTAGCTATCATGTTACGGGCTAGAACCGTGTTCCCTGAAAAGTCATGTTGAAGTCTAACTGCTGACACTTGTGAGTGTGGCTTTACCTGGAAACAGGGTCTCTAAGGATATACTCAAGTGACGGGGGAGGGCTGGATGTGCAGCTTAGTAGTACAGCATGTACTTTGCATGCTCAAAGCCCTGAGCTTCATTCCCAGCACACAGAAAAACAATGGATTGAAATTAAGTTGGGGTCACATTGGCTTAGGATAGATTCTCCTCCAATGGCTGTTGTCCCTGTAAGAGGAAGGAAATCTGGGGCACACAAAGGAGAAGGCCATGTGAAGGCAGAACACAGCCACACCAAGGATTGCTGGCAAACACTAGGAGCTCTGAGCGAGGACTGGGGTAGTTTCTCCCCAGAACCTCCAGAAGGAGCCAACCCTGCTGAAACCTTTTTTTTTTTTACTTCCAGCCTCCAGGACAGTAAGAGAACAAGTATCTCTTATTGCTAAGCCAACAAGTTTGTGATGACTTGTTACAGCAGCCGTGGGAAACTAATACACAGTGTAAATACATGAAGGTCCTACAAGAAGGCGGTATGGCCTGCTCCTTCCCACACCCACAGCACAATAGTTTGGGCTCAGGTCACTGAAAGAGCCACCAGGAGAGGGGCTTTCTGAGGAGATGCCATCTTCCTAGAATAGGCCAGTCCTTCCCCAGGAGGCTCCTTGCTCCTCGTCTCTAGGGAGGGAATCCTGGTGGTGCAGAGTTCAGCCCCTACCACGAGGGCAGCCATTTCGTGCACAGACAGGATCCATGAGGGCTTGGCAGAGGAGAAGGTGTGTGTGTATGTGTGTGTGTGTGTGTGTGCTTTTGCGTGTGTGTGTGTGCTTATTGTATTGAAAATTTCGTTTGGAGGAGGGCTGGATCAATTTTCTGAGTGCATTTTCAAAGATGAGGATTTTCTATACTTTAGCTATTCCATCTTCAAAAACATCAAATTAACATATCACTTTTTAAAAATAGTTCATGATTCTTTCCCAAATGGAAAACCAGAATCACCTGCCCTAAATAAAAAGTAAAAATACTAAAATAAAACATATTTGTATGTTTATTATTTTTCTGTCAGGGAACACCCTGGCCCGGGAAAGGGCAGGGTCAATGCTATTCTGATAGACCAGATAGTTTTTATAAAGAGAACTATTTTGAAAACTTCTTAAAGAGCTGGTTTAAGTCTTCCACAATATGAAAAAAAATTGTTACTGTAAACTTTACTATTATTCTGCTGTGAGGATTCTACCTGTTCGGCTCAATATTCTATGGAAAGAAAGTTCTGGAATGGGGTCCATTGAACAGGCTTTCAAATCTACAAGCACCGATCACACTTAAGAGAACAGATGCTGGCATTTCAACTCTGAGAAAATTAATGGGATGGACATCTGCCATCGGCAGGGCCTTGCTCAAGTGTCGCTCACTGCTGATCGTAACTGCTGATGTGTCTTGTCTTGAGTGGAGAAAATAAATAAGACTACTGGTCTAAGAAGAGATCTTTTCAATGTGCCCGTCAGAGGAAAAATCTGGAAACCCAGCCAAAGGATACAAGCTAACCTTTGTTCCAACACTGGCATGGAGGAGTGAGGGAAAGTCTGCTGAGATAAAGAGATATTTGTGTTTCCAACTTGCAGTGGCCGTGGGGATGCGACACTCCACAGCACACAACGGGCTCTTCTGATATACTAAAGCTTGGCACAGACAAGTGTGTCCAGTATGGTCTAATATTGCTTTTCCTGGAGCCTTAGGTGAAGACCCCTACATGGATGTGATCCCAGCATGGAGACGGAAGCACGGGAGTCTAGCATGCCACGGAAATCACCCAGACTGTTGCCACTGACATTCAAGCATTTGGCTGCTGTTTAAAACGCCAATTAAGTTGTGTGTGTGAGTGAGTGTGTGTGTGTTCTCTGCTACCATCTTTTTCTCCAGCATGATGTCATTTATAGTAGCAGCAGGCTAAGAAAATGCAAATTACCCTCTTCCGTTATACTCCCAAGCTTACCATAAACACCAGTTTCAATTCAGAACAACTCAGACGAGCATATGAAGGCCAGGGACATAACATTTCTCCTCAGGGAAGGTGATAGAGGAAGGTGAGTAACATCTGTGGCTATCAGTGATGATCCTGGGTAGAAACTGCATACTCTGCTTGAGTCTTAAAGAGACTTTTTAGGGAAAGGGCCATTTTTGCAGGTGTGGGTAGGGTTAAGGAACAAGAAGAAGGTGAGGTACCTAAGGACTGGCACTAGCAGAAGGCTGTAACTAGGTGGCTTAAACCACAAAATGTGTTGCTTCACAGCCCTGAAGGCCAGAAGTCAGGAATCAAGGTGTCTGCAGGACTGTGCCCCCTCTGAAGATACTAGAGAAGCATCTGATTCAGTAGTTCCTCGGCTCGTAGCAGCACAACTCCAGTCTTCACACAGTTCTCCCAGTGTGGGTATCCATTTCCAAATCTTGCCTTTACAAGGGTTATCCGTCCTAATTGAATTAGGGCCCACCCCACTGCAGCATCACTGCTATTTAACTAGTTATATCTACAATGACCCTATTCCCAAACAAAGTCACATTCTGAAGTTCTAGGGGTTAGGATTTCAACACATGACTTTTGGTGGAACATAATTCAGCCCACAACGTACCCTGTGCCAGAAAAGGCAATGAGGAAGGAAGGCACTGTAGGCCCTGGTTGAGAGCTGAAGCCGTGTGATTGTGATTGTCAGGGATGAACACAACGGTGTCACACTGCACAAAGCAGGAAGGGGCAGGAGAAATGAATACCCCAGTCTCTTCCTCACTCCAATCTCCAGGAGTCAAACCCAACCATAAGACACAGAACGAGGGAGCTAGTGATAGAATTTGGGGGAGTCAGCCTTCCTCCAGCACAAGGCAGAGAGAAGGAATGGGGGGCTTAGTGGTGGTGGTGTGAGTAAAGGATACAGCTGGAGGAAAACCAGCAAGAGAATAGCCATTTACTCGGGAGAATGAACGGTTTAAATGGATTGTGGTAAACTGGAGACGGCAAAGGTCATGCAAATGATTTGTGGGCATATAAATGTGTAAATCATGTCTCTGGAGGTATAATAAGTTACGGC